TTACTTAAAGCTCGTGGTCTACCTCGTGATGAATGGCCATTCTCGCTGGACCAGATAAAGCGAAATATTGATAAGGTATTCTGAGACGTGGAGTGTATTCGTTCCAGTAGGATGTCCAGTTTTACACTGCGGATTTCTTCTGAATTGTTTTTGACAACATTTTTTTTCTAGTCTTTATTACTTGCATAAGCCTTATCATTGTTTAGGGGCGTTACCGGCGCTTAGATCGATTTCAAAGAGATTTCTTCGATCTTTTTGATCGGGCCCGTGAGCTCAGCAGGAGTGATTCAAAGGTGCGCTCATTACATTGGCTTGTTCGAGATCTATCTTTCAGCTGCTTACTATTTGATTTCAACAAAAATGGAGATGGGAATGAAGTGTTTTTGCAGCTTTTCGAAGATGCCACAGAACTGCAGCTAGCTTTTATTAAAGAAAGGGATACTCAGTGTAAAGGAATTCTTGTTTCAACTGCTTTCACTGCTATAGAAAACGTAAGTGATTGAGTCATTATTGTCTCTACTTAATTAGTTCATATCTTTTGAAGGATGTGTTGGAGGCAGTAGAAAAGCTCCGAAAATCCAAAATGCATCAAGAGGCAGAGATCCAGCGGCGTGAAAGCAACGATCAAGAGATTGAAAAACAGGTTAATTCATTCCTCTAACTTCCTTACCTAGCTCTATTTATACTTTATTTATCTTACCTCAATGTTATGCCATATTGATCCACTATTTCCAGTTTTTCATGTATTATGTTTTTTTTCCAAAGTGCTTTTGCCTTTTAGGAAGGAGAGGTTGACTTGGATTCGCTGAACTTCGATGGTATTGAGTATACAATACCGTCGTATGCCTACATTTCTCGAACTGATGACAACCATCGCGCTCCACCTCACATTATCAGGGTGGAACGGATTTTCAAGTGAGATATCAAACTTTATTACATTTTCTTCGGAATTTTTGTCTTTATTTAGGACTGATACTGGAGAAATGATGGTGAGAGGAAAGTGGGTCTATCGGCCGCATGAAACTCTGCATTTAGCCAATCGAAAGTTTATCGAAAACGAGGTATTCCTAACTTTTACATATACAACAACAACTTTTCAACGTAGTTCTCATAGGTTTTCATCACTCCATTTATCGATACCGTACTTGCCGAACGGCTCAGTGGCCTTTGCATGGTGGTATCTGTGAAAACCTCGTTACATAATGTAGTCGAAGGAGTCAATCCAAGCGATCTTTATGTTTGCGAATGCCGGTATCTAGGAAAACCGCGATACTTTGCTAAAATCAAGGTGAGTCAATCTCAAGCATTGGTACCTTACATGAAAGGCAGTATACAAAATGTTCAGACATGGCCTTTCCCTGAAGATGAGGAGAAGTTGAAACT